CGCTGGGGACGGCGGCGTCAGCAGGAGCGAGGCGGCAGCATGTCCATGTTCGGGCTTTTGCGCGGCGTCGGTCGCGCGGAGCCAGGCCCTCCTCTCTCCGCCCCCCTCCTCGGGGGCAGCGTCGGGGGGGGGGATGTGCTCCGGGAGGAACGCCAACGACCCCCACTCGCCGATGGTCCGAGGCGGGAATTTATCCATACCCGCCGCCTGGAGGGTCCGTTTTCGGAGCCTCGGCGGGCGGTGGACATATAGACATGTTCGGGCCCCGCGGGGGCCGAAATGTATGTGCAGATCCACCGCCCGCTGGGGCACCAGGACGTCGGTTCCCAGGCGGTGGATATGGTAGGGGGCCGCATGCGAACCCCACCCCTACCCCCCACGATTTCTGAGGAATCGTGGGGGGTAGGGGTAGGGTTCGCATGCGGCCCCCTAACCAGGACGTCGGTTCCCAGGCGGTGGGTATGGATAAATCCCCGCCTCGCCGATGGGGGCCCGTCGCCGAGCTCTCGGCACCGTGTCGCCGGCTTCCGGTCGACGCGTCCCCCCTCCCGAGCTGCAAGCTCGTCGACTTCGACACCGCCTGGTTCCGAGGCTTTGCCTCCTCCCGGCCTCGTTCCGAGGCTGCGCCCCCCTTCTCCTCTCCCCCCTCTCTGCGTAACTCAGGCTCTGGGCGGCCCGCTTGGCTTCGACCGGAAGAGGTGCGCTCTCGACCCGCGAATCAAGAACGTGCCCCCCCCCCAGCGAGTCCCCCCCCCCTTTTGTCGCTCCGTCTCCGCAGGGGCCAGCGGCGTTCGAAGGCCTCGGCCCTGGAGCCTCGGCCTCGCCCTCTCGATCGCCGCTCCTTGCCCTTTTGCCCGAAGGGCTCGGCTCCCGGGCCTGTCCGCGGGTGCGTCCAGACCCTCTTTTCGAGGCGGATCCAGCCCTGGCGACGAGGACCCCCCAGGACGCGCAGCAGCACCAGCCAACGTCGGCGAGAACTGTCGAACCTCGATCAATCCTCGCACTCTCTGGCCGGTCGTCGATCAATGGTGGGCTCTTGCGGCGCCGCCCCGCTTCAGCGGCGGGGCGGCCTTTGAGATGAGAGGGCGGGGGGGAGTTCTTGGAAGGCAGGGGCCTATTCATGATCCCGCGGGCCATTGAGAAGGCTCTTCAGAACCTTGGAGGGCTTCGAAGAAGACTCCCGCCTGCCTTAGAAGTCCCTGCCTTCTCCTTGGAGAAGTCCCCTGCCTTCTAAGACGACCCTCGCCTTCTTAGACCACTTAAACATAATCCTCTGGCGGGGGGTCGAGGAGGGGGCTCGGGGCCAGCAACGTCACGATTTGCGGTGGCGCCATCTGAGAGCTAGCTGTCTGTAGCCATTCCCAGACAGTGCCGGCCCGAAGCGTGACACCACCGCGGAACGGGGGAGGGTGTGGAGGGGGCGGCCGCGGTGAACGGGCGTTACGGCTGGCGTCGCAAAGAGGGCGTTCGATGTTGCGCCACCGAACCGCTTCTCACATGCCATCCCTCACCTCACAGGGATAGCGCGTTTTCGGAAATCGATGTTGCACGAATAGCGAAGAACGGTATAACCTAAACTCTCCCGCCATCGTGGACGCCTGCTCCAGGGCGACTGGGAAGTCTATACCACCTACGGTCCCAACGGCGGGAAAGTTTGTTCAAACCGCTTCGCGTTCACCGCCCGCCCACTCCAGTTCTTGCCAGACGAGGCGAAGACGGCTTCACGACACAGATGCAGAAAATCATACAAGACACCCCGCAGGTGTGTATTGTTGCTTTGACCTGCGCTCCACTATTGCTCCCAACCCATAGCCTGCTAGGATCCGGCATGCCACGGGGTTGATCGATAGTAGATTTGCCGTTGGGTCGTCGTCCCGTCATCCGCACCGACGGATCAGTGATATGGACGTTTGCTCTCTGGGCCCTTGTTTACGATCCACACCATCAGGCCAGAAATAGCCCGAACATTGTCCAAGATCATCCAAAAACGGCCTTAACGCTGCCTAGAAGGAGCCAAGCAGGGGCCCATGCGGCTTAGGCGGGCGTGGAACGGCTGAAGCGACAGCACGTCCGTGTTGGGCCGTAACGCCGTCGGAATGTCATTGAACATCGGGCTGGTTTGGGGCCGGTTTGGGTTTTGTTTTGGGGCCCACGTGAAGCCCAGGAGCGTCCAACATTGATCCTGGATTGAGTCCACAAACGGCGTAGGTGTGGGAGCGGGTGTATGGACGTACAACACGAGTTGTTGGTCCCAGGTAGAGGGTCGGGGTTCTGAGGATGCATGCAGGCGTCTGGGTCGTTGATTGTTTTGGACATCATTTTCTGCTTGGGCGTGAACTCCGGCATGGTATGGGGCGTCATGCGGCTTCATGCCATAGCACTTGACGCACTGCCCGAGATCTAGTAGCCTTCGTGCCTGGGTTGTGGGTTCCGAAGCCTCTTGGATGCTGCTCGGGGTTGCGCGCAATGTCTTGCGAATGCATATGGATATGTTGTGGTGTTTGCGTTGGTGTACTCGGGTATGACTCAAGTAGTACTGAAGTGGTATCGTGCGCGTCATGTGGATCCCTGCGGGCGTGGGTCCCCAGTGCTAAGGAGGTGTGTGGCGGATGCTTGATGGCTGCAGTGGCATCTCACTGGTACAGCTGGAGGCATATCGATCGAAGGGAGTGGGGTTGGAGGAGGAGGAGGAGGAGGAGGAGCAGGAGGATGAAGAGGACGAGGAGGATGTGGAGGAGGAGGAGGAGGAGGAAGAGGACCAGGAGGATGTGGAGGAGGAGGAGGAGGAGGAGGAGGAGGAGGAGGAGGAGGAGGTGGAGGAGAGAGAGAGGAATGTCATCGGGGTGACGCAGGGAACGACGACGACGGCGACGACGATGACGGCGGCGACGACGAAGACGATGACGATGACGACAACGACGATGACGACGACGATGACGTGGACGACGACACAGGTAGACCAGGCGTGAACCAGAACACTCTGTGTCCGCGAGCCTCCGGGATGCTTCTTGGGTGCTTCTTGAGTATGCAGGCTTCAAGTGGTACCATTCAGGCACCAATGAAGTCTCTCGGGCCCTCTTGGGGATCGTATTGAGGCCTCTTCTGGGCCTGTCGGGGGCGTCTTCGGGCTTCTTTGGGGCCTCTCGAGGTTTCTCGGGGCTCTTGGGGCCTCCTGTGGGGCCCTTCGGGACGGAGGGCTCGAAAAGTTTGTTCGGGCTCCTCTTGTTGAGCCTCTCTTGGGCCGTCCTGGGGGCCCCTTGCGCCGCTTTGGGGCCCTCATGGGCATTTTTTTTTTGTTGTTCCCCGTCTCTTGGGCTGTCTTAGGGGCAATATTGGAGCCCTCTTGGGCTGTCTAGGAGCCTTTTTGGGCCGTCTTGGGGCCCACTTGGGTCGTCTTGGGGCCCTCTTGGCGGCCTCTTGGGCCGCCCCGGCCGTTTTCGGGTAAAAGCCGGGCCGGTTCTAGGCTGTTTTGGTTCCGTTTGGGAGCCCAAGTGGGGCCCCGAATCTTGTAAAGTGAACCCCGAAGCGCGCCCCAAAACGGCGTCTAAATTTGAGAGGTGAAAAATACCCCAGACGAGCCCGAAAGGCAGTTGTAGGAAGCGTCGGGGTCAACCTTGGGGAAGCGAAAATCATGAAAAAATGGTAGTGTGTGCTATATGTATATATATATATATATGTATATGTTGACCTTCCAGCTTGTCGGCGAGAACGGTTCAAAAAGGCGCTCTCGAGGGCCCCAGGAGCAGATTTTGGAGACCAAGAAGGGGCCCCGACGGGGCCAGAATGGCGCCAGAATGCGCCCCGGAGGCGTCCTCCAAACGATATAAAAATCGAGCTCGTCTTGGAATCCGTCTTGGGGGCGTCTTGGGGGCCGCGCAGCCAGGCAGCGGAATGGCGAAGGCCTCCGGGGGGGATGAAAGGGGGGGACTAAAGCATTGTAAGGAGCGCTCGTGGTTAAATCCCACACGCCCCTCTGCCCGGTGGGCGGGCGGATTCAAGTTCCTTCCGCCATTCCGCCGTCACCCAGAGGAGAAACGAAGTCCACGGGTGTGGCCTCTTGCCTCCTGGGAACCGTATGAGGGGCCAAGTGGGGCACTTTTAAGGCCTCTCTGGGGCGTCTGGGAGCCTCTTGAACGGCGGAAGAGTTTATTCTACACGCCCCACCCCCTCGCGAAACCTCCCCTCCAGGTCCAGGGGGAAGAGGGGGGCACGGGGAGCGTTAAAGCCTTCTCCGAAGGGGCAGAGGATAGACGGAAGAGGAACCTCCCCAAACCGTTCACGCCCTAGAGGGCTGGTGGGATCTGTTACGGCCGGACCGAAGCGTGAGATCGAGGTCGGCTCGGGGAGGCTACCTTCGCATTCTGTGTGCTTGTCCTCTGCTCTTGTGCATGCTGGGGACGGGTACCCTCGGTGATCTTATGGGGTTACCCCTGTAGAGACGAGACGAGACGCGCGTGTCCGCCGGCAGGCGGGCCCCTTGGGAGCGGCGCGGGCGGGCCGGGGCCCGGTCAGATGTGCGTGTGCGCAAGGTAATCCTTCTCCTGCCTCCCGATTGTTTCACACTGTCCGGTCTCCAGCAACATCCAACCACGAGTTGGCCCGGCTTGGCCCCTGGGGCCCCGTGCCTGGGGCCTTGGGCCGGGGTGTCTTGGCCGGCGGAGAGTCTCATGTTCTTGAAGGGTGTGCGTGTCGGTCCTTCCCCCGGAAGCACGGCAGTACAAGCTCTCGGAATGCCGCCCCGCACTCGCGCTGGCCCCTCCTGGGCGCGCTGCCCGCGGCCGCCGCCGGCAGCCCACCGCCGTCCTGGGGGCCGCCAGGGGTGGCTGCTGCTGCTGCTGCTGCTGCTGCTGCTGCTGCTGCTGCTGCGCGTTGTCGTCGTCGTCGTCGTCGTCGTCGTCGTCGTCGTCGTCCTCCTCCTCCTCCTCCTCCTCCTCCTCCTCCTCCTCCTCCTCCTCCTCCTCCTCCTCTCCTCCTCCTCCTCCTCCGCCTCATCCTCCTCCTCCCTCATCCTCCTCCTCCTCCTCCTCTCCTCCTCCTCCTCCTCTCTCCTCCTCCTCCTCCTCCTCATCCTCCTCCTCCTCCTCCTCTCCTCCTCCTCTCCTCCTCCTCCTCCTCCTCCTCCTCCTCCTCCTCCTCCTCCTCCTCCTCCTCGTCTTACTCCTCGACGTTTGAAGCCCGAAATGCCGAGTTTCTCTATGCTCCCCGCGCTTCTTGAACCCCTGCCAGGTTGTGGAAGGCCGGTTGCGCCTTCGCCCCGACCGTCCAGGGCACCCCGACGAGGTCGCTGGCGGAGGCGCGCCGTCGTCGTCGTCGTCGTCGTCGTCGTCGTCGTCGTCGTCGTCGTCGTCGTCGTCGTCGTCGTCGTCGTCGTCGTCGGAGGAGGAGGAGGAGGAGGAGGAGGAGGAGGAGGAGGAGAGGAGGACGGAGGGAGGGAGGAGGGAGGGCGGGAGGGAGAGAGGGAGAGGGAGGGAGGGAGAGAGGGAGGGAGGAGGGAGGGCGGGCGGGCGGGAGGGAGGGAGGGGGGAGGGAGGAAGAGGAGGCGGTGGAGGAGGAGGAGGAGGAGGAGGAGGAGGAGGAGGAGGAGGAGGAGGAGGAGGAGGAGGAGGAGGAGGAGGAAGAAGAAGAAGAAGAAGAATCAGAAGAATAATAAGAAGAATAATAATAATAAGAATACTAATAATAATATTAATAATAATAATAAGAAGAATAAGAAGACGAATAATACTAATACTAATAAGAAGAAGAATGCGAATAAGAAGAAGAAGAAGAAGAATAATAAGACGAAGAATAATAATAATAAGAAGAATAATAATGAGAATAATAATAAGAATAAGAAGAAGAATAATAAGAAGAAGAGGAAGAAAAAGACGAAGAAGAATTCTGAGAATAATAATAAGACGAATAATAATAATAATAATAAGAAGAAGAAGAAGAATAAGAATAATAATAAGAATACTAAGAAGAAGAAGAAGAATAATAAGAAGAAGAGGAGGAGGAGGAGGAGGAGGAGGAGGGTGGGGAGGGTGGGGAGGGAGGGAGGGAGGGAGGGAGGGAGGGACGGAGGAGGACGTAGGAGAGGGAGGGAGCGCGGGGGGGAGGGAGGGAGGGAGGGAGGAGGAGGAGGAGGAGGAGCAGGAGGAGGAGGAGGAGGAGGAGGAGGAGGAGGAGGACAATGACGGAGGAGGAGAGGGATGAGATCGAGGACGAGGAGGTATGGGAAGAGGCGGCGGTTTGCAGAAGGGTGGCCTGTTGAGGAGAGCCACTTTGGCCAAGCAGCACTTGTTGCCCAACCTTGCCTTCTTAGTACCATTCGCCATTTCCGATGTGGATATGAGCATGCTGACATACTTCCAGGGTGCTGGGCATTCGCAATTGAGCTTAAGGTTGCTTAGCAGCTTAGCGTAAGCACGAGTCCAGCTGAGCGCAATCAGGCGTGACACTACATAATCCTCTTCGATACGATCAAGTACTCATATTTTCATGCGCCATACAAATTCTAGACTCTTCGCGTAGCCCTACCAGCCCATCCAGAAGCGATGCCCTGCCGAGTTGCCCTGATCAGGGATGTGGACCTGCATGCAGTGGAACAACGGGCTGGGTAAGATGTCATACCCCGGGAGGGGTTAGGAGGGAGGAGGAATCGAAGGAGCATCAAGGAGGAGGAGGAGGAGGAGGAGGAGGAAAAGGAGAAGGAGGAGGAGGAGGGAGAGGGGGAGGGGGAGGAGGGAGGAGGAAAGAGGAGGATCAGGCGGATGAGTAGGAGGAGGAGGAGAATGATGAGAAGGAGGAGGAGGAGGAGGAGGGCGAGCAGAAAGGCCAGAAGCCTCTTGGATGCTTCTCGGAGTCTCTTCAGATTTCCTCCCAGAGCTTTTTGGAGTCCTCTTGGGGTGTCTTCGGGGTCTCTTGGCAGTCCCCGAGGCCTCCTGGGGCTTGGGCGCCTCCAGCGAGCCTCTTGGGATCTATTGGGGGTCTCTCGGAATCTTCTTGGGAGCATCTCTTGGGGGCCTCTTGGGGCCTGGGCACCTCGCGAGACCGTCTTGGGGCACCCTCGGGAGCTTCGGGGGCCACCTTGGCGCCATTTTGGACCCCCCCAGGAGGCCAACATGTGTCAGTAGCATCAGTGATGTTCGTCTTCTCGCCGAGGCCTCTTGGGCGTCTTGGGTACCTCTGGGAAGGCCTCTTGGGGGTCTCTTGGGAGCCTCTCGGGGGCCTCTCTTGGGGCCTCTTTGGGGCCTCCTGGGGCTTCCTGCGCACCTCTCGGGGCCGTCTTGGGACACCCTTGGGAGCCTCAGGGGGCCGTCTTGGGGCCATCTTGGAGGAGAGCGATCAAAGAAGGGCGGCTGCTTACTCCAGATTTCGTAATACAAGGGAGGGGGTCTGGACCCTCCAAGACAAGCCATTTCAGACCCCCCCCCCGTGGGAGAACCCTCCGAAACATCGTCCCCAGACCCCCCCAGGCCCTCCAAGATAGCCTGGAAGAGACCCCCCCCGAAATGAGACCCCCCTCCCTTTATTACGAAATCTGGAGTAATTGTGGCCACAACGTCAGTAACATCAGTGATTTTGGCCTTCTCGCCGAGCCTCTCGTGGCGTCTCGGGTGCATTTGGAGGGCCTCTGGGGGCCCGTTGGCCTCTTGGGGCTTCCTGGGCACCTCTCGTGGCCGTCTTGGGGCACCCTCGGGAGCTTCGAGGGCCGGTTTGGGGCCATTTTGGCGGAGGTCGACCAAAGGACAGGCAACAGTACATCAGCCCGCCCCCCCCCAGGATGCCAACTTGTGGGCACAACCTTATTAACATCAGTGATGATCGTTTTCTCTTCTCGCCGAGGCCTCTTGGGTGCCTCTTGGGTGCCTCTGGGGGGGCCACTGGGGGCCTCGCGGGGGTGTCTTGGGCGCCTTTCGGGGGCCTCTCGGGACCTGGGCACCTCTTGGGGCCGTCTTGGGGCACCCTTAGGGGCCTCGGGGGCCATCATGGGGCCACCTTGGAGGAGATCGATGAAAAAGACGGGGGCTCCCTGAGGCCAACATGCTGCCAACACCTTAGTCAAATCACGAAGTTTGGCTTCCTCGCCGAGGCCATCTTGGACGCTCCAACGACCCGCGGAACGCCCCGCTCCAGGCCCACGGGGAGGGGGCAGGGGGAGAGGTAAGCCCCTCCCCAAGGGAACGAAGGGGGTGGAAGCATCACCCGCCTAGACCACTCACGCCGTACAGGGCCGATGGGATTTGACCGCGTTGGGTGGTTTGGCTACCTCCGCCCGAGGGGGGCTCACGGATAAACACGCACATGCGCGTCTCCAAGCACGAGCATGTTTACACTCACCTGCACGCGAACGTTCGCAACACACGCATACGGATACCTTCGCGTTAAGCCAGTTCCGTGATGGCGGTTCGACGACACCACCGACGGTGACGGCGATGGCGTCAACAGCGGCGGCGACAATTGTGATGCTGCTGCTGATGACGACGATGCTGATGATGATGATGATGATGATGATGACGATGATGATGATAATGATGATGATGACGATGATGAGGACGGTGACGGTGATGGTGATGGTGATGATGGTGCTGGTGATGCTGATGACGATGATGATGATGATGATGATGATGGTCATTATGATGATGATGATGATGATGATGATGATGATGATGATGATGATGATGATGATGATGATGATGATGATGATGATGACGGTGGTGATGATGATGATTATCATGATGATGGTTAGGATGATGATGACGATGGTGATGTTGTTGATGATGATGATGATGATGATGATGATGGTGCTGATGCCGATGCTGATGCTGATGGTGACGATGCTCCATCGCCTTCCACTCGCTGCTGCGGCCCAGTGAGGTCGCGAATGCCCACGGGCAACATCTCGTCTTGCCCAGGGACGTGGGAGGCAATATCAACGCGGGCGTGCTTGCGCTGCTGTCCGCCAAGACATCCGACCGAGGGCCAAAGTTCCAGAGCGTCCTGATCGACGATCCTGCGCTGCTTAACTCGATGTGGGCGTCTTTGGACACCACTCTCCGTCGTCAGCGCTGTGCCCAGGACAGCTGCGTGGGCTGACCCAGAGGTTCATCTACCCCGGCATCAGCGACTCCCCGCGCGCCCTTGGGTCGCTGCGAGGAGGAGGGGCCATCCGTCACTTCCGCTCGTTTCAGAGCCTGGGGCTGATGCAATACCGTGGGCGCTGGGAGACTGCAACATCAATGCGTCGCGATCTCCAGATGGGCGCGGCCGCCATATCCTTCGCCCACATGACGTCGGGCAGCCGCCAGCGTGTCCAGCAGTTTGCTCAACTCGCCCCAGATGCACGGGGCGACTGCTGACTGTCTCGCCAACCCACCCGGGGAGCAAGGCGCATAGCAAACGCGTGGCAATGCCGGCAACGCTGGAACAGGCTGAGGGCTCTCTGTCTTCGTGGTTTTGCGAGGGCGCGTGGCAGAGACAGCGCCGCTGCGCGCCGGCGCCCCTAGCCTTAAGTCGGGCCTGTTCTCCTACAGGGGGATTTTCTACGAAAAATAGAAAATACCCTAAACATAGTCAAAAAATACTCCAAAAATAGTCCGGGGACTATTTTGTGAGTATTTTTTGACCTTTTTGGGGTATTTTCGGGGTATCGTTTATCTTTCGTCGAAAATCCCCCTGTAGGGGGACACGCCCGACATAACCCTAGCGGCCCTTTGGCCAGTTTTTTGGGGCAGGCTTCGCACTTGGGGCGCTGTGGAAGACAAGCGTCTGGGACCATGTGAGCACAGCGGTCATGTTGTGGCATGCAGCTTTCTCGCCCTTCCCCCCCGCCTTTGCGAACAGCCTTGGAACAGGTGGAGGGCTCTCTGTCTTTGGGGTTCTTTTTGGCCGCGCGGCAGAGACGGCGCCGCTGCGCCCCGACGCCCCTGGCCGCCCTTAGGGTGGTTTTTCCTCGCAAGTCTTTTACAGGGGGGTGGCGCATTCCGTTTGCACTGGTTGGCGCTGCTGCGATTGACCGCTCAGCTGGGCATAGTTGGCGGGCGGGTTGTGGTTGTTGTGTGGGGGAAAAAATGATGATGGTGGTGCTGATGATGATGGCGATGTTGATGGTGATGCTAGATGATGCGCGCGGTGACGATAATGACGATGACACCAGTAACCATGCTTAGTGTGATTATGATGACGACGTTGCTGACTACGACGACGACAACAAAAAACGACGACGGCGACGATGATGATCATGACGATGATGATGCTGGTGGTGTGATGATGGTCATGATGATGAGTGGGCCATGACTGCTCCCCTCAGCCCCAGTCCAACGCAGTACGGTGCACAGTGTGTGTCGGTTGGCCTTCGTGGCCGAACACCTGCCTGCCAGACACTAGATCGCCTACGTGGATACAAATATAGTCGTGTTTCGTGCGTCGTGATCTGGGCCCGAGAGCTGCCTTTCTCCAGGGGGACCACGGGAGGGCGCGAAGGCAATCGCGCATCACGCTGCGTGGGGGCGATGCGCGAAGTTAGGTCGCCCCGACACGGCAGGTTCGCCAGTTCGCCCCTTGTCGACGCGGCGGCGACCCCGGCGTGCGCGTCCAAGGCTGAAAGCCGCCGATGGCCAAGAGTCGGCCGACATCAGACATTCCGCGCTATCGAAAACTCGCGATCGATCAAAGTTGCACGGTGCGCGAGGGGGCGGAAACTGACGCCCGTGCCGTCACGTCACAGGGCCCGCTTCGATCCGATAGATCTGCTGTGATCACGATGCCGGCCAGCTCGATCCGAGTCGAACCCCAAAATCCGAGGACCCGACGCGGCCCGATGCTTGCGTGGCGCTATCGTGCATCTTGGCGCGGCCGAACCCGATCCGATTCCGACCCTTTGCCGATGCGTCCCTATCCGATGCACACTCCGATCCGATCCGATTTCCCCATTCGTTCCCCTGCCTCCCTCCCTTCCCTCACCTCCCTTCTCATTTCCCCTCCCTCCCTCCCTTCCTCCCTTCTCTCCCTTTGCCCTCCCTCCCTCCCTCTCTTTCCTCCCTCCCGCGCCGCTCCTAAGGGGCCCGCCTGCCGGCGGACACGCGCGTCTCGTCTCGTTTCCTCCCTCCCTTCTCCTCACTATTTTTCCCAGGCCTCCTATGGACCCAGCGCGGCCGCTGCCGGACGCGGCTCGAAGCAGTGGTCGGGCCGCTGTCTGGGAGATGCCCTGGCACTGACGGGTCGAGGATCGGCGATGCCCTAGAGGGGGGCGCAGTGCTCGGGTCGATGCTGAGCGATTCTCTGCACCATGCTCGGGTCGAGGATCGACGATGCCCGGCGCGGGTGCAATTCGGAGCGTGAATTGCCTACCCCGCTTTCGCTTCCAGGCAAGACCAAGTCATACCACGCGCCTCCTCGTCAGGCGGCCTGACCAGTACAGGCCGTAGTTTGGCATCGCTTTGGCATCTCTTGGAAGCGAGGGTGGTCAAGAGCGAGGTAGGTTTGTTTGCCCCTTAGCGATGCAGTGTGCCAGGGAACCGCAAGGACACATGGCTGGACCCACGCGTGGAACACTGGGGGGCCATGCGTCGGATACTACACGCGCGGACAGCCGGCCTGCACGGCGAGGGCCGAGCACTGCGGAGACAGCCGGCCGCACCTCGGGGGGGCGTTGGAGGCCTGTGCTTCGGCACCAGTGCCAGCACAAGGAGGTGTCTTCACTGGGGGGGAGGATGACCCCAGTGTTAAGTCGGGCCTGTCCCCCTACAGGGGGATTTTCGACTGAAAATAAAAAAAGACCTCCCAAATAATAAAAGATAGTCCCAAAATAGTCTGGGAACTATTTTGGGGTATTTGTTGGCCTTTTGTGGGGGCATTTATGGGGTATTTTTCTCGTGGGAAATCCCCCTGTAGGGGGACACGCCCGACTTGACCCCAGTGTGTGGTGCTGGTGGAATCCTCCGGCCGCCCAGGAAGCCCGAGCACCACCGCCATCACCAAGTTCGGGTGGCGGCCACTGCCACGTTGGTGCGCGTGCCAACCCTGTACACACGACGCTCTGACTTTCTTGGCTTCGTCTTCCTGATTCTTCCTCCTCCCCCTCCCAGGCCTTTTTGCGCCTGACGGATGTGGCAGCGCGCCCTGGGAGAGGCAGGACTGGTGAGCAGGCAGGGCGTGGGTGTTCTACTCCTGGATCCTGACCTGGAGGGGGTCTGGCCACTGGCCTTCCCCTCTCGCCGCATCGAAGGCATCGACTGGGCAGGGCCAGGACAAGCACAAAAATCCATCCCAGAGCGCCCTGGGGAGCTCGCGGAGCGTTCCGGAGCGCTCCGAGGAGGCCGCGGCGCCCGATACGTCCTTCAGATCCGCCAGATCTCGGAGATCCTGGATGTGTCCCAGAGGACGGGGGATGAGAGAGGAGGGAGGAGAAGGGGCAGGAGGAAATAGGATACTCCAGTGTTTCTTTGGTGGAAGGAGGAGGACGCAACGCCGACGCAGCATCTAGTATGGTGCCCGCCTGTCCGATGGTGTCCCTGTCT